AAGGAGACTAGAGACAAAGGTGAAGTACTTTGGCCACATCATGAGGAGACAGCAAAGCCTAGAGAAGACAATTATGCTGGGGAAATGGAAGGTAAAAGAAAGAGGGGCCTATGCTCACAGAGCATCCTTGAAGTGACTGGACTGACCTTGAGGGAGCTGGGGGTGGTAACGGCCGACAGGGAGCTCTGGCGTAGGCTGGTCCATGAGGTCACGAAGAGTCGGAGACGACTGAACGAATGAACAAAATTAGTATTTTTATTGCATTCTTTGTTTAATTAATCAGTTTATACAACTTTAGCGTTTATAGTTTATACAACTTTAGAGTTGCCATTTTGGCCCACGTGTATACACACAGTTCACACAACTGTTATAAGCACAGTTTCTGAAGTATTTAGAATTCTCTGTGCCTATTGATCCGATATATTTCAAAGGGTTTTCTTAGGCGAGGAATACCCAGTGAGGCATTGCCCAGTTCCTCCCTCATAGAATCAAAGAGTTGGAAGAGACCTCATGGGCCATCCAGTCCAACCCCCTGCCAAGAAGCAGGAAAATTGCAAAGCACCCCTGACAGATGGCCATTCAGCCTCTGTTTAAAAGCTTCCAAAGAAGGAGCCTCCACCACACTCTGGGGCAGAGAGTTCCACTGCTGAACAGCTCTCCTTTCTTGGTTTTTTTAAAATAGATTTTTATTAAGCATTTATATGATTACATGGAAAGTGGGGGAATAATTTGGAAGATGATAGAAAAGTAGGAAGATAGTGTAGAGAGTGCCATAAAAAAATCAAATCCAAAGAAACAAAACTAAAAAAAATTCCCACCTCCCAAAAAAAGTGGGAGGAAAAGGGGAAAAAAGATTACAAGAGCAAAAAAAAAAAAAAGAGGAAGGAAGGGAACTTCCTTCTAAGTCTGCTCTCATTGTCTCTTTTGTATATATGCTATCCCTTTATAGCTTACAACTCCTTGTATTTCTTTTCTATATGAACTTCTATTGTTGTCCAGTCTGCTTGCTTAGTCGGGTTTCCTTTATTTTTCCTTAATAGAAAAGCTAATGTCTTTAATTTCAATTATCTTTTTTAACCAGTTTGTCTTCTCTGGTATTACATTTTGCTTCCATAATTTCATGTATACCATACTGGCAGCCGTCGTCACATAAGTAAACAGAATATCCTCATTTGGGTTCAGATTTATGTCTCCTTTCTTGAGTTTGAAGCTGCATCCTAGTCTCCAGGGCAGCAGAAAACAAGCTTGCTCCCTCCTACATATTTATACATGGCTATCATGTTTCCTCTCAACTTCTCTTCAGGGTAAACATGCCCGGCTCTTTTAGCCGCTCCTCATAGGGCTTGTTCTCCAGACCATTGATCATTTAGTCGCCCTCCTCTGGACACATTCTGGCTCTCTTCAAATGTGGTGGCGCTGACGTTGGCGGTCTCCCATCCAAGTACTAACCAGGGCCGACCCTGCTTAGTATCTAAGATCAGACCGGAGCCGGCTTAGCTTCCAAGAAACAGTGCCTTTGGAGTATTTAGGCGCTACTTTGCTGCTGATTAGCAACCGCTCCTAGGAGCTTCCCTGGCGCCAAACTCTCAAATCTGCGCGGACTGCCCCTCCCTCCTCAGAGAATGTGAGCGAGCAGCGATTGGTTAGCGAGAGAAAACATCTGTCCTCTGATTGGCTTAGGGCTCACTCCTCTCACTCCTCTCCCTCCCTCCCTCCCTCCCTCCCTCCCTAAGCTCTTTTCCCCGCCTAGCTACTCCTCCTTGTGCCAGGGCAATTCAAATCGCTGAGGCGGAAAGACAGAGACACGTTTTAAACAAGCTCCCGGGTAGGCTCCTCCCCCGGGGCCATCGGGAGCCAATCAGGTGCGACGTGTGTGAGGAACGTGCCTTGGAAGGAGGAGCGAAGCCCCTCCCCTTCGGAGGCGCGCGGCGGGAAGATGAGCCAAGGGGAATTCGGTGGTCGCGCGACTGTGAGGGAAGGTGAGAGGAAGGAAGGAAGGTTTGCGCGTCCATTCTATGAGGAATAGGCCTCGAAAGGGAAGGAGAAGTTGTGTCTGTGGGGATGGGAAAAGGGAGGACGTGGCCCCCAGGGTGGGTCTGGTTGAATGTTGTCTAATTCCTCTGACACCTTTTCAAAAAATAATTTACCTAGGAATTGGATAGGCTATGGCAGGCCTGGGCAAACTTAGACCCTCCCTCAACCGCTTAAGCGGCTGAGGGGGAAAAGGAAGGGGCCTGAGGCCAGGAACTGTGGGAGTTGAAGTCCAAAACACCTGGAGGAATGGCCCAAGTTTGCCAAAGCCTGTGCTATGGAGTTGTAACCCTCTTTGGTTGACCCTATCCATCTGTAAAGTGGTCTTCCTATTTTCCTACTATCTCACCAAACATTAATGCTTATTTTCTAGTGAGTTGTGTTCTTTCATGATGGGCCTAAAGTATGACAATCTCATTCTATTGTCAAAGGCTTTCCATGGCTGGAATCACTGGGTTGTTGTAGGTTTTTCGAGCTGTATGGCCATGTTCTAGATTCCTCCAAGAACGTGGCAATACAGCCCGAAAAACCTACAACAACCTTATGACAAAAAAAGCCAATGGGGTTTTGGCATGTATCAATAGTGTCTAGATCCAGGGAAGTCTTGCTACTCCTCTATTCTGCCTTGGTTAGACCACATCTGGAATATTGTGTCCAATTCTGGGCATGACAACTGAAGGGAGGTATTAACAAGCTGGAATGTGTCCAGAGGAGGGCGACTAAAATGATCAAGGGTCAGGAGAACAAGCCCTTTGAGGAGCGGCTTAAAGAGCTGGGCATGTTTAGCCTGAAGAAGAGAAGACTGAGAGGAGACATGATAGCCCTGTGAGAGGAAGCCACAGGGAGAAGGGAGCAAGCTTGTTTTCTGCTGCCCTGGAGACTAGGATGCAGAACAATTGCTTCAAACTACAACAAAGGAGATTCCATATGAAAATTAGGAAGAACTTCCTGACTTTGAGAGCCATTCAGCATTGGAACTCTCTGTCCCAGAGTGTGGTGGAGGCTCCTTCTTTGGAGACTTTTAAACAGAGGCTGGGTGGTCATCTGTCGGGGGAGCTTTGAATGCGATTTTCCTGTTTCTTGGCAGGGGGTTGGACTGGATGGCCCATGAGGTCACTTCCAACTTTATGATTCTATGATTTTGGCTTCTGTCAGACCAAAAAAGGCACCAAAATGCTCCCTGACAGTAAGAAATATCACTGAAATGGATGGATTTCAAATATGATGTAGGCCAGGGCATGTTGACCATACTTACTTACTTAGGCGATCCCTCATAGCCTGAGGCTGATGGTCCTCCAAGTGTAGTATCTTGACAGTGGATCCATAGTTGGCTGTGGAGCCCGGTTCTTGATCCACATGTTCTCCTGCAGTGAGGACATCAGATTTTGGGTGAAAGGCGATCCTGGTTGGGGTTGGCTTGACATGCCTTCCTCTTGGCATGTTTCCCCCTTTCGTCCTCCATTTGTGCTTCCTCAAATTCTGCAGCACTGCTGGTCACAGCTGACTTCCAGTTTGAGCGCTCAAGGGTCAGGGCTTCCCTGTTCTTGGTGTCTATGCCGCAGTTTTTAAGGTTGGCTTTAAGCTCATCTTTGAATTTCTTTTCTTGCCCACCAACATTTCCCATTCTTTAGTTGGAAGTATGGTACATTTAGACAAGTGTGGCTTGTGTTTAAAGTAATCAAAAAAGCATTGTACAGTTTCTTTATAAAGTATCATGGCCTTAGCTGAAAGTATCATAAAATACGGGTTATTTCGCTACACAGAAACCACACAAAATATGTGCTCTTGCTCCACAGTTCTTCCCCACCCCCCTCGCCCTTTTGCCAGTTGCACAAATAAGCATAAAGTTACTCAGCTTGCTGAGCAAGTGGCTTGCTTTGTTTCCTCGTGGAATTATCACCTTTGCACTGAATTGCTGGGAGGATGATATTCAGAGTGGTCTAGGCCTGCAATCCTCAAACTTTTAGGGTTGCCTATACCTTGGAAAAGAGCCCCTGATGGCACAGTGGGTTAAACTGCCGAGCTGCTGAACTTGCTGACTGAAAAGTCAGTGGTTTGAATCCGGGGAGCAAGGTGAGCTCCCACTGTTAGCCCCAGCTTCTGCCAACCTAACAGTTTGAAAACATGCAAATGTGAGTAGATCAATAGGTACCACTTTGGCGGGAAGGTAACAGTGCTCCAAGCAGTCATGCTGGCCACATGACCTTGTAGGCGTCTATGGACAACGCCAGCTCTTCGGCTTAGAAATGGACATGAGCACCAACCCCCAGAGTCAAAACGACTAGACTTAATGTCAAGGGAAAACCTTTATCTTTTATACCTTGGAAATTTTTAGTCCAATCTGGCACTGCTACCTGCAGGCAGGTAATAGAGAATATGATATGTCATTATTCACTGTGACATTATATACAAAACGATAGGGGGGACAATGTTTCATGAAAGCCTTCTAGCTCTTGCTTGGACAGAAATCTCACAAAGTCCTTTCTAGACATTGACTTGTTTGTCCTTTTTACTATTCTCAATGCTGACCTTGCAAATTTGCTGTTGGAGATTAATCAAATAGATGAATGGAAATCATCTTAATTGAGACTACTAGAGACAGGACAGTAAGTAAAGAACAACACTCAAAAATAGGGGAATTCCAGAAAAGAAACAATCAGGGCCAGCTAACACCTCCCAACAAAGGATCCCCATGGCAGCAATCAGCCAGGTTTTGAAGCTACAAGGCCATTCAGTGCTAATCAAGATGGCCCATTGCAGCATTCACACTTGCCTCCAACGGACAAGAGTTCTTTCTCCCACCCTGGACATTCCACAGATGTATAAACCTAGTTTCCAGTATGGCCAGTGATTCCGGCCATGAAAGCCTTCGATAGCACATTGCAGTAAAATTATGTCCTGGTTTGTCTTTTGCTTTATTCCAGTTGGTTCTTCTTTCTAACGGTATTAATGCCAACTAAATTTGTTTTGTCTTTTTTTTTCTCTCAGAATCCTAAAACTGTTGCCTAAACATCATATTCCTTTTAGTATTTAGAAGCTAATACAAATAAGAGGAAAACTACATGAAACAAAATGAATACTGAAGACAAGGTAACATATTTGAGCTTGTTTCAGCTTTGTTGTTATCTCTTAGTATTTTATATTGAAGGATATAAACCAGAAATGTCCACATAGAAACAAAATCATAAATTTGGAAAGCTGCCTAAGGGCCATTTCATCCACTGTCTTTTCAGTGCAGATATCTAGAATTAAAGCATTCCTGAAAGATGGCTATCCAGTCTCTGCTTAAAAACCCCAAAGTAGGAGAGCCTACCATCCTGTGAAACAGTCTATCCAAGAGATCTTCGTTAGGAAATTCTTCCTACTGCTTAAGAGAAAGATTATGGTTAGCATAAGATTGAACTTGTCAGTAGTAGTAGAAGCAGTTTCTGATCAAATTGCTAAGGATTACAGGTTATAGTCAAACCGTTATTGCTATGCTTTTAGATTTATCTGTTTTACTAAGATAGCTATACTTCGGTTTTTTAATATAAAACACAGAGCTGATGAAGAGCTCTTCATAACTGTCAATGGTAAAACAACTTACACAGAGCTGATGAAGAGCTCTTCATAACTGTCAATGGTAAAACAACTTTCATCCAGGATTTAATCCTGGATGAACGGGCAGATCTGGCGTGCATCACAGAGACCTGGTTGGACGAAGCGGGAGGTGTAAATTTGACCCAGCTTTGCCCACCAGGCTTCTCTGTGCAGCACCAACCGAGATCCGGAGGGCGGGGAGGCGGAGTTGCAGTGGTCTATAGAGATTCCATTCTTCTGACCAGGGCCCCCATCCCGCAGTCAACAAATTTTGAATGCGTCCACCTGAGGGTGGGTGACCGGGACAGATTAGGGATTCTGTTAGTGTACCGTCCACCTCGCTGCACTACAGTCTCCCTGCCTGAGCTAGCGGGGGTGGTCTCGGACCTGGCATTGGAGTCCCAACGGCTGCTTGTGCTGGGGGACTTCAATGTCCATGCCGAGACCGCCTCATCGGGAGTGGCTCAGGACTTCATGTCTACCATGGCAACCATGGGGCTGTCCCAACAGGTATCTGGCCCCACCCACAGTGCTGGACACATTGGACTTGGTTTTCTGCCAGGGATGGGAGGAAGGTGGCGGTGTTGAGGAGTTATCCATCTCTCCGTTGCCATGGACCGACCACTATCTGGTCAGCTTTAGACTCACTGCACCTCCCAACCTCTGCAGAGGTGGGGGACCCATTAAGTTGGTCCGCCGGGAGGCTAATGGATCCGGATGGATTCCTGACGGCTCTTGGGGATTTCCCTCCGGTTGGTGATCCTGTTGATGCCCTGGCTCTCTGGAATGGGGAGATGACCAGGGCAATACACACGATCGCTCCGGAACGTCCCCTCTCGAGTAGCCGAGCTCAACCAGCTCCTTGGTTTAACGAGGAGCTGGCAGCGTTGAAGCGAAAGAAGAGGAAACTAGAGAGCGTGTGGCGTTCGGATCCGAGCGAGCCAAATCGAACACGGTTTGTGTCCTTTTTAAGGGCATATGCCGCGGCAATAAAAGCCGCAAAGGCTTTCTTTGCGGCCACTATTGCGTCTGCAAAGAACCGTCCGGCTGAACTGTTCCAAGTTGTCAGAGGCCTGTTAAAACCCGCCATTCAGGATGGGTGCCCTGATGACTCGGCAGCTCGCTGTGAAGCCTTTGCTCAGTTTTTTGCAGACAAAGTCGCTTTGATCCGCTCTGGACTGGATACCATATTAACGGCAGTCTCTGAGGATGTAACACGAGCATCTGCTTGTCCGGTTTTGATGGATTCATTTCAATTGGTTCAACCGAGGATGTGGACAAGGTGCTTGGAGGAATAGAGCTACCACATGCATCCTAGACCCCTGCCCATCCTGGCTTCTAAAGGAGGCCAGAGGGGGATTGTCCGAGTGGGTGAAGGTGGTGGTTAATGCCTCCCTTCGGGAAGGCAAAATTCCAGCCAGCTTAAAGCAAGCTGTGATAAAACCGCTGTTGAAGAAACCATCACTGGACCCCACTCAATTCGTCAACTATCGGCCTGTTTCCAATCTCCCCTTTTTGGGCAAAGTCATGGAACGTGTGGTGGCCTCACAACTCCAGGCATTCTTGGTAGACACGGATTATCTAGACGGCACAGTCTGGCTTTAGGCCGGGACATGGTACCGAGACAGTCTTGGTCGCCTTAGTGGATGATCTACGCCGGGAACTCGACAGGGGGAGTGTGTCCCTGTTGGTTCTGCTGGACCTCTCAGCGGCCTTCGATACCGTCGACCACGGTATCCTTCTGGGACGCCTCGCGGGGATGGGTCTTGGAGGTACTGTTCTGCAGTGGCTCCGCTCATTCCTCGAGGGCCGGTCTCAGAAGGTGTTACTGGGAGACTCCTGTTCAACCCCACAACCGTTGTCTTGTGGAGTTCCTCAGGGTTCAATACTGTCTCCCATGTTGTTTAACATCTACATGAAGCCGCTGGGTGAGATCATCCGGAGTTTCGGAGTGCGATGTCACCTGTACGCAGATGATGTCCAACTCTGTCACTCCTTCCCACCCGCTACTAAGGAGGCTGTCGAAGTCCTGAACCGGTGCTTGGCCGCTGTGACGGTCTGGATGGGGGCGAACAAATTGAAATTGAATCCAGACAAGACAGAGGTACTCCTGGTCAGTCGTAAGGCCCAACAGGGCATAGGGTTACAGCCGGTGTTGGACGGGGTTCCACTCCCCCTGAAGACGCAGGTTCGCAGCTTGGGTGTGATCCTGGATTCATCGCTGAGCCTGGAACCCCAGGTTTCGGCGGTGACCAGGGGAGCATTTGCACAATTAAAACTTGTGCGCCAGCTATACCTTGGGAAGTCTGACTTGGCCATGGTAGTCCACGCTCTGGTTACATCCTGTCTGGACTACTGCAACGCTCTCTACGTGGGGTTGCCTTTGAAGACGGCTCGGAAGCTCCAATTAGTCCAACGGGGCAGCCATGATACTAACAGGAGCGGAGCGCAGGGAGCATACAACTCCTCTGCTGCACCAGCTCCACTGGCTGCCGATCTGCTACCGGGCCCAATTCAAGGTGCTGGCGTTGGCCTTTAAAGCCCTAAACGGTTCTGGCCCAACTTACCTATCCGAACGTATCTCGGCCTATCAGCCCACCAGGACCCTAAGATCTTCGGGGGAGGCTCTGCTCTCTATCCCGCCTGCTTCACAGGTGCGGCTTGCGGGAACGAGAGACAGGGCCTTTTCTGTGGTGGCCCCTCGGCTTTGGAACGCCCTCCCCATAGAGGTAAGATCAGCCCCTTCGCTGATGGTGTTTCGGAAAAGATTGAAGACATGGATGTTCAAACAAGCATTCGGTTAATCCGGTGCAAGGAATTTGATGACTAAGGATTGGTAATCATGGACGATGAAATTGGACTGCGATTCTAGTTAAGAGATGCATTGGATTATATTGGTGGCCCAATATTATGTATTGTATGTTGTTTTTATGCATTTTAAACTGAATATTGTGATTGTTTGCAGAGTTGTAAACCGCGTTGAGTCGCCAATTTAGGCTGAGAAACGGCGGTATACAAGCGCAGTAATAAATAAAAATAAAAATAAATAACTATTTGATGACAAGTTATTGGTGAAGTAGTGGATCCTGAAATAAGTAGAAACAAAACTGCATCTGTAATTTTATGCACAGTATCCATGATTTCATTATCATTTGATGAAGGCAGAGTTTGATAAACAAAATTACAAGGTACCCTTTACAATAAATAAGACATTACTACAAGAAAAAGAAATCTAGTTCATAGGGGAGTGCATAATAGCAGAAAAATATGGGTTAGTTCTGCTAATTAAGAACAGCTAATTTTCTTCAACTTTTTTCCATGTCTAACTGCTTTGAGTCTCATGGTTTGTTTTTTTGTTTGGACTTAGGAAAACCAGTTTTTTGAAGCAGGTGAAAGTAGAGTGCAAACACCTCTAAAATGGAGAGCTACCTCCAGTTCGGTTTTGGAAGAAGTCCAACCTGCTGCTGCTGTCCGCCTGACAACACCACCGAAGCCTAGTGAAGTCTCTTCTAAAGATCCATGGACACCCACGGCTAACCTCAAAATGCTAATCAGCGCAGCTAGTCCTGAGATTCGAAATCGAGAACAGGAAAAAAAATTGTCAAACAGCAGAAATGAAAGCTTTGAAGTAATTTTGTTTTTATTTTCTCATAAGCAATTGTGGGGTTAATACTAAATTTTGAAAACTGGTCCAGCAAGCAACATCTTTGTTTGTTTGTTCTGCTCTACTCTGTGTAAGGCATCAGATGCAGAGCTCTGGTTATTTATAGGACTAATAGCTTATGCACCACAGTTGTGGCATAACAGCTGTATTATTTTGGGGGGCTTAGCAGTTGTCATGGGGCCCTTCGAGACAGGCCCTATATCCCAGGATCTGATCCCAGGTTTTCTGTTTATCCGAGATTACCTGCCAGTGCGGACTCATATAAACCAGTTTAATGCAGAAAACCTGGGATCAGATCCTGTGATATAAGGCCTGTCTCAAAGATGGAGATGGTCACTTGGTGTTACTCATTCATTACAAATTTGGATGCTAAATGTATCAAACTATATCTTTTTTTTCACTTAAAGACATTTTCTCTTGTCTTCCTGCAGGAACATTTGTCAGGAGATGAATATGAAAAATCCCAACCAAGCCGTAAAGACAAAAGCCTGGGATTGCTGTGTCACAAATTTTTAGCTCGCTATCCTTGCTATCCTAACCCTTCTCAAAACAATGAAATTTGCCTTGATGAAGTATCAGAAGTGCTTAGTAAGTCTGGGGCTGAGGTCTTAATATTCAATGCTGGTGAAAATACTACTGTAGATATACCTCAGTTATCAAAATAGATGTGTCCCTGGGGATTACTTCTGTACTAGAGACAAAGATAACATAAAAAGGATAGGGATCGGTTCTTACAGATGAACATGTTTAAGTAAACATTTTATTCAGAACTAAAAATGAGAACATGTGAAATGAAACAATCAAATCAGGGAAGCCTTACCTAAGTAAATAAAAACATTTTGAATCTTCTAGGGTCTACCAGAAGGCTTCTTCCAAAATGCATGCAGACATGATGTAAGCCACTCCAAGTCCCCTCGGGGAGATAGGGCGGAGTATAAAGTTTTATTTATTATATTTATTATTATGCTTTTTCTTTCACCAAATACCACATTTACAATTTCAATTTTAGTGGCCAGACTTAGAGAGCAATGTATTTCTAACATGCTGGGAATAGCTAGTATGGCAGCTTTATCTGCTGGAAGTAGGGTCAGAATTAGCTAGAGTAAAACATCACTCCTGCCCAGCTCAAGCTTTGTTTATTGCGCTTCATCACCTTCCTGATTCGTAACCCTTTTGGTACTAATGTTGGAAAGTGGGCCCTGTTCAAAAAAGGTTGGGAACCATTGCCTTAAAAGAAGGTGATCCTCCAAATGTTATCCTTTGAGAATCTAATAAATTTGAAAAGTAGCTTGAAATTATATAATTGTGGTTTCTTTCTTCCATACAGATGTTGAGCGTAGACGTATTTATGACATAATGAATGTCTTGGAAAGTCTGCACATGGTGAGTCGACTTGCCAAAAACAAGTATTCTTGGCATGGGTGTTATAATCTGAAAAGAACGCTGCAGATTTTGAAAAAAGTTGCTGAGGAGAACAAATACACGGACCAAATTGAGTTGATTAAGAAAAGAGAATCTGAACAAGAGTTTGAAAAGGATAGTCAGAAGACTGAGTTGGTGACAAAGCACATTGTGCCAAATGATCATACGGACATATGCTTTGTGGAGTTTCCTGGGATGGAGTTTCGAGCAGGTAAAGACTTTGATCTCCATCTAGGATTAATCTACCAGACTGTGCATACCCCTGTAGTTCAAAATGTTTGCGTTACAAGGTTTAACATCATTATTTTTAAATTACCCATCATTTTAATAGTGATGCTGATAAAGTCTTCAGATAGTGAGTACTTTCTCCAAAGGATTTCCCTTTTCTTTCTTTTTTTTTTCATTGTTAGTAAAATATATTTTACCAACTTTTACTAAATCCAGATGTCATACATGTGTATCATTCTAAGAACAAAAATACTCAATATTGTGTTTACTGCACTTATGCAAATCTAATTAATGGATCAGTACTGGAATTGCCATAGGTCAGCAGGGCAACCTGTGGTCGCACACACACATGTACATAAATATACATAGATGTTTATGTGTTGTTGGTTCAAGACAGACCTCAATGAATTAATTCAGGGTTGCACAACAGTAATCTTTAGTGGCCTACACCTTAGGTGACATACAACAATGCCTTCTTTCACACTTGTTAACTAGCTTTTTTCATTTGTTCATTACACAGCTTCAGTAAACAAGCGTAAAGACAAATCTTTAAGAGTAATGAGTCAGAAATTTGTGATGCTTTTTCTTGTATCATCTCACCATGTCGTGAGCCTTGAGGTTGCTGCTAAAATGTTGATTGGTGAAGACCACTTGGAGTATTTAGATAAAAGCAAATTCAAAAGTAAGTGAAACGTCTGTTTGTCTGCTTTTTTAAAAGTAGGGGTGGGGTGGACTCCTGGTCATTGTGATGAAGTTGGCTCTGCACATTAAGTTATCATTTGGTTAAAGAAGTCTGTATTTAATGAAATCCATTAAAGTGTGAATTCCATTTTTAGATTTGAGTCTTATCTTCAGTGTAGCTCATTATGTCCGTATATGCAAATAAAGGTATTCAAAAATCCAAAATACATCTGATTCCCAAACATTTTTGATAAGGCATACTGGAAGAGATCATTTAAAACATTGAACAAATGATTAACAGTTATTAATGTACACACTGGACTGTTCATAAATTTTTCTCTGATGGATGCAGTGCTGTTCTGCTGCATGTTTGAAACAACATTTGGGAGGGAAAGACTCATCCTGACAGAGGTTTTGTTTAAGAATGGTAATTCCCATGCATTTGCATTGTTTTGTTAATTTATTTCAGCTAAAATCCGGAGACTGTATGATATTGCTAATGTTCTCAGTAGCCTTGAACTTATCAAGAAGGTTCACGTTGCCGAAGACAAGAACCGCAAACCAGCATTTAAATGGACGGGGCCAGATATTTCTTCAGATACCCAGGGTAAGTTAATTATTGCTTTGGTACTCCGGATTAGATCTAACTTTGGTAGTAAATTTCTTCAGATGTTTGGGTAAGAAGCAGGAATTCACCAAAATAGATGGGTGTTAAACCCTTGTGCTGGCAGGACTGAAGATCAAAAGGTCAGCAGTTCAAATCCGGGGAGTGGGGTGAGCTCCCGTCTGTCAGCTCCTCATGAGAGAAGCCTCCCACAGGATAGTAAAACATCCGGGCATCCCCTGAACAACATCCCTGCAGACGACCAATTCTTTCACACCAGAAGTAAGTTGCAGTTTCTCAAGTCGCTCCTGACAGGAAAAAAAAACCCCAAATAGATAGATAGAGGAATTGATAGCATTGATGTGATAATTCGCTTATTTATTTATAGTATTTTTGTGCTACTCTATAGCCAATGCTGAACAATGTAATGATACAACACACACACATATGTGTGTGTATGTGTCAAAGTATATTTATCCTACAAAGACTGCTGCTAGGTGAAGTGGCCCTCTCTGATGTCACTGGTAAAGAAAGATGATATGTGTATGAGGGGAAGTAGTGGGAGAAGGAAAGGACCACAAAGAGAGCTTGCCCATTGTTGGCTGGAGTTACACTTTAAAAAGGTGCCTATTCTTACATACAAATTCAACTTAAGAACAAACCTACAGAACCTATCTTGTTCGTAACTTGGAGACTGTCTGTACTTAAAAACTGTTGGGGATGAATGGGGAGACAAAAGCAGAAATCCTCATAACTGCTTTCCAGAACAACAGCCAAATAAAAATAGAAGCACTGCAAGGCAACATCTCTAGCTATTATACCTGTTTGAGCTGTCCAGAAGGATACCAAGGTAGTTGTGTCTAAAGGTGTAAGAACACAGTAACAGGGTTGCAATCCTCTGTTTCCTTAAGTGACCTTTTCACATGACAACCAAAACAGCTTCACAGTTATAAGACTAGGTCTGAATCTTGATTGAAATCCATCTAAAAAATTAGTTTACTTCAGGGTGCCTGAAGTTGCCTGGCAACAACTCGCAAGGAAGAAAGTGTTCGTTCCTGGCCTGTTTCCCTGAGGCTGGCTTAGATTTGTTTAACAGTGGCTAAATCATTGCCACTTTAAAGGAAGCCACTATCATCCCCAGGGAGCAATCTTGAGCCAATTGGAAATTCTTTTTGTAAACATGATTAGCCATAACAGGCAAGAGTCAAGCCTACAGGTAGTTAGCCAGACAAATTATTCTCCTGGTTGAGCTGTATTTATTTATTTATTATTTACGGCATTTATATGTCGCCCTTCTCACCCCGAAGGGGACTCAGAGCGGCTTACAAGTCATAAGTACATACAACATACTACATAATACATAACTAGCATAGTACTATTACATCATTCATAACATTAGTACTACATAATATTACATTATTGCTACGGGAGGGGCGCTGATGTCACAGGGGACAAGATGGCAATGTCCTCCTGGCTCCCCCTTCTTTATTCTGGCCCCAGAGTGGCCGTTGGAGCCGAGATCATTGGGTTTGGCCTTTTTTGTCCTTAAAAGTATGATAGGTATATTGTAGCATGCCAGGCAGAGTTGCAAAAAAAATTATCACAAATTGCTTACAGCTTCTCAAGTGGATCATAGTGAATTACTATAGTGGTAGTTGAAAGGAAACCTTCCTGTGTATTGTCAGATGCATCGTGAGTCTTCCTCTGCTTTTGTTCTACCAATATTTTGGCTTGCTTCATTGCCCTCTACTTAAAAGTATAAATCAGTAAAAGATCTGTTTGGCATTTAGACACAATTTTACCCATTACCCAGGACATCTCTATGTCCCACAGAGCAGCAAGATTTCAAGGTATACCAACTAGAGCTTTCCCTAGACATCTTCAGTTGAACAGAGGACAGATGACTTTTCTCCCATCATAACCACTTTCCCAATCTCTTTCCCAACAAAGGATTAATAGCCTAATAGTTAATAACCTAGTACACTGCTAAAACATGTTACAGCTCCAATATGCTTTATTTATAGGTACACAGCCAGTTGCTACACCTGCAATGATTATTTCATCTCATCCTGTGAAAGATAAATCTTCCAAGGAGAACTGTGCCAAGAACCTGTTCCCTAATAGAAGCAAGCAAGGCTTCACAAGGCATCCATCCTTAATAAAAACGGCAAAGACAATGCAGAGCGATCGGAGGAAGATCCGTTCTGCTCCAAGCAGCCCCATTAAGAAAAACACAAGTATGGAGCCGTTAAAATACAAACTCTACTAGCTATTGTTCTGAAGAGGCTAAGGGCTATGAGTTACTCAGCTTTAAGCTATACAAATAGTGTAATTGCAGTAAAGTCTTTCCATTGTTTATCTTTTGTCCAAAAGGTCAAATTGCACCAACCCTTCCAAGTAAGATGGCACAACTTGCAGCAATATGCAAACAGCAGTTAGATGAACAATCAAGGTATGTTTCTAAACACAATGTGGCAGTACATCAAGGCAGCTATTAAAATTAGAAATTCATCAATAGTTGTTTTTTTCCAGAATAAAAACGGGATGATTAATTCTTATTGTTATTTACAAAGGACAATGTATGGACTTTTATTAAAGTGGTAAAAGAGTATTTTGTAATGCCCTGCAGTATTTCAGGGAGATAGGATGGGCTACAAATGTTGTTGTTGTTGTTGTTAATATCAAATTACCAAAGTCAGTTCCACTTGGTTTTGCTTTATTTGAAAAGGAAAAAAATCAAATCAAAGCATTCTAACACTGAATTTCTTTCCTTAGAGATCTCAAAAAGATGAAAATGAAACTGGAACACTATACTTCACCAGGCTCTCTGGGTCCTCCTCCTGGCAGTTGTTTGAAGCTCAAAACATCTCAGGCTGAGATCCTTCCTCTGATCCCTAGTTCAGGATCACCAGCAGTGCTAACTCATGCCCATCCCAATGTGCCATATGTGTTGTATTTCCCGCCTTCCCAAACACAGATAGTGACAGCACACAATCCAGGTTCCTCAGTACAGCCCTTTCCCTGTACTAATGTGATGGGAATGAATTCTCCTGTGGAGGCCAGTTCACAATTGATCCCTGAGAAAAAGTGCATTGAGGACAGTGACATTAACTTAGCAGCAGGTGATGCCAGTTCCAGAGAACAAAGCCTTGGCCTGGCCAAGGAGCAAGATGGCAGAAAAGATGACTTGATATTTGGAAAATGTTTCAAAAGATGTGAATCGGCGCTGGAGGACACTCCCATTAAAAAATGTAAGAATGAAGAGCCGGAGCATCAGGTAATGTTTGTTAAAGTGTTTACTCTTTCCACAAATGTTGCACCGTTCTAATATGTTTTATTTTCCACCTAAATTGATGCAAAAAAACTCAAAATCTTTGGATATCATTAGACTAGTAATTCTTAAATGGTGCCCTCTAACAATCTGATTAAGGGGTTCTGTGAACTAGAGTGGGGCAACCTATAATATTATCAGGACTTTTAACATTTTTTTTTTACTGCAGTAACAGTGTCATTAATAATAGCAAACCCTCAAAACTTTATTTCTTCACAAAGCTCAGTGAAAGGTACAGGGTCACTGTAAATTGACAAGTAACTTGAAAACACACACAACCTCTCATGATGATGATGATGATGATGACGACGACAATCATCATGATCATCACACAGTCCTAAATGGTTGGGTAGTGTTCAACTTGTGATTTTGTTATATGAAATCCAGCATGTGTTTTTGTGTCAATAAAAAATAATAAACTTTATTTGTACTCCACCACCATCTCCCAAAGGGACTCGGAGTGGCTCACAAGGCACTCAAAGGTGCAAACACACAAAATACAAAAAGTGTAAAAACAATAACATTAAACAATAAACAACCAACATAAATAATCACAACTTCACAAATTTATCTTACTGGTTGAAATCAGTAAGATACAGTGCTATCTGCAAGTAAAAGCAACTAAGCCATAAGCTAGGGTTTAGTAGCTTGAAACGAGATCCTTGTGAATATCTTTGAAATAAAATGTGTCTTTTTGGTGGAAAGAGACCCTTGTTCATTTGCAAGAGTGGACAAAATATGACCTGTCAGATGTTGGACTGTAGCCAGTCCAAGCCAACATAACCAGATTTGGACATTGCAATCTAAGTGCAATCTAACATCTGTAGTTGGCCTATTTTTCTTTGTACCCATTGTGGGAACAGAAAATGCTGGGCCCAAGTAGTATACTGCTAAAACTATTCAGTACCCCTAAAACTCCCTAAAGGTCTGCTATGGCTAAGTAATCTTTTTTTTTCTGGGATGGGTGTCAGCCCAGATTCTGATTTTGACCATCTTCATCTCACCGTTGCTCAACATCTCCAGGTCCGCCCTTGGAAGAGGCTATCTTTTGGACCTGGTCATGTATTACTGAACTCTTTTTTTTTCAGTCAGCCTTCAGAGGAAACTAGCATTTTTCAGTTCATTAAAATCCCAGGCAGCAATTACACATCTTCAGAAGAAACTAGGTGTTATATTTAATTTAAAAACTTGGCTGTTCCGCTGTGCCTTTTCAGATTAGGAATCCCTACCCCAAGTCCGAGTAGCTCCTTAGCATAACAATTATCGTCGCTGCACACCGCACTTGAAACCCTACGTGCCTCCTGCTATTTCAGCACTTTTAACCTTTGTACCCAGTGCACCAGCCGAACCAGTTTTAATAATGTCTTGATTTATTGCTATTGTTATTATTATTTTGCTATTGTTTGATTTGTCTTGCTTTTGTGGTGTCTGTTTTTATTATATTGTGTTTTTGGGGCTTCGGCCTGTGTAAGCCGCATCGAGTCCTTCGGGAGATGCTAGCGGGGTACAAATAAAGATAATAATAATAATAATAATAATAATAATAATAATAATAATAATAATATTGTCAGGTTGGGCTTGTTTTTGCCACGGCATAAATAGGGTTGCCACTTCTGCAGGTGTTTTCATGCCCTTTCATTCTTGAAAAGCAAACTTTTCAAGATGTAGATATCATCCAGAGGATTGCAAAACACATCACTTGATGCCACAGGTTTTGAGAGTGCCTTTTTGAGCACAGAGAGCTTTTGGTATCCAGCTAATCTGTCATTAATTGCAGATATGCCCATTTTAGCCTTAGGCTTCTTAACTGAAACAGCTGTGCCTTGATTCTATGACATTGACACAGGTTTATTATTATTATTTGTTGATTTTGAAGAAGCTATTCAATTTTCATAAGGAGAAAGGTATCCTCCAGCCCCAGTAATTTAGATGGAAAAGGCTCATTAGTGAGCAGAAAAGAATGACATTGGTGAACATATTCTTCAGCAGAAAGGATTGCTAAAACTGTTAGGGATGGGAGGCCTTTTGTAAATTTGGCGTGTATACCCTGAATGAGATGCAGCATTTCAGTGATTCTACATATTTTACTAGTCCTTGGAAAAGATTTTGAAAAGTATAAAACAATAGATGAGATGTAGGAGAATAAGTACACTAATTAGAAGAAAAGAAGCATTTTAAATGGAGAAAGTGATGAGCAGGGAAATGTTTTGAAATACTATCTATCCATAAAACCCTAGCTTATGAATATTTCCAGTTTTTGGTGTTGAAAAGGCAAAGATATAAAGTATGAAGCCCAGTCTTTGACATGTCCAGATAAGGATCTTGAATACCAAGACTTGGAGGAAAGGGGAAGCTCTGCTTCCTTCTGTGTATATAAAAGTCCTTGGTTTCTGCTTTTCGCACATAGTGTATCTTCATAGGATGGATGAGAATCACTGGGGGTGGGATGGGAATTAAAAGTTATAGGTTGTCCATTGAAGATAAAGGCAACCAATCATTTCCCCCACCCCATCCTGACCCCTGGAGAACTGAGATGATTGGGATTGATAAGAGGATAAAGATCCTTTGTCCTTTTAGTTCCTTTCAATGCTTCTGTTGTGGTTCTGTTACAACACATTCCCTTTGCTAATAGGAAATTAAAGTGAGGGAACCAAAGACCATAAGTTAATGTTGGCATGAAAGATCTAGGACACTGTTTCAAACTGTTTTGAACTGAAACAGTGCTAGAGTTTTCAGAATTGAAGCAGAAGTGTGCCATCTAACAATACTATTCAAAATTGTGGTCTGTGAACTCACGCGAATCCACAAGCCATTGGCTCTTAAGGTGTGTGGCAAGTTTCCTGGAAGGAAAAAGAGAAGCAGTTGTAGACAATGGCCACAAATACAATGCCAGTCCCTGATGTACCAGGTTGGGGGGCGGGGGAGGGGGAGGATGAGGACCTACCAGTCAGTCACATCAAGTAGCTTGATGAACAGTGCAATATAGAGTAATCAACGGTTTTATTAATCTGCTCAGGTTGTCTTATTTTATTAGCACTCATTGTTGCTTCTGGCATAAAGAGTATGTTCTTCCTTTCTTTTAGACTTGGCTTCCTTCAGGTTATCTTATACCTTTTCCTCAGTTTACCAAGCTTTTAAGTGAAACCACTGTTTCTAGCAGCGAGAAGACTGAGTCATGTGTAGAACAGAAAACCTACAGTTCGCCTATTGCTGGTGCGTATTTATTGGCCATATCACTGGAGTATTCCTGAATTAATGTCTATCATCTCCCGTCAAGTACAAATGGCAGAAGACTTGATGTACGGAAGTTAGGTGTGCCCATTATACACCTGAGGCATTGCCAGTGTTTAAGGCAGGCACGCCTAAAGTCCAGCCCAGGAGCCAAATACGGCCCCTATTCAAATTTCCACCTACCTGCTCTCTTCGGGCCTCTCTTCCTTGCTTCTTTCCTTCCTCACTCCCTTCCTTTACTTCCTTCCTCCCTTTGTTGACTTTCTTCCTCTCTTTATTCCTTCCTTGGGGATCAGGGCCTCCCCTCCTCGGAAGGAGAGAAAGAGATATGGCGGCCTCTTCTGTCCCTTCATCCTGATTAAGCATAGCCTTTTCCCTGGGTGGTTCCGCCCTCAGCCATCCTGTCCCTGTGATCCTTTGTCTCTGTCTTTCTCCACAAGTTTTTATTTTTTCCTTTGCAAAAGAAGGCTCCTCAATTGCCCTGCTTGCCCAAGGCACTCACTGCTGCCACTCCTGCTGCTTCTGCATGGCCAGGAAGGGCACACTGTGGAGACTGAGCGCCTGCCTGGATTCCCTCCCTCTCCATTCTCCACTCTGCCTTTGTCCACATTGCTGTCCTGCTTTTTCCAAAAAGGCCACCCTTCACTGCGGCTCCTCCATTGGGAAGAAAAGGGGAGAGCCATACGGCAACTTTAATGACCCCCCCCCCCACAACCACCGCCACAATCCTAGCCCTCTTAACAGAGGGCCATGCTGCCTCTGCTGAAAAACCACCAGAGAAGGTGACAACCAGACTCTGAGGCAGCATATGCCACTGAAACAACTTGACACACAACAACAAGCCTAATTAACTTGACTCTCTCATCAGCCAAAAGCAGGCCCACACTTCCCATTGAAAGACTGATATGTTTATGTTGGTTAAGATTGTTCTTCGTTTCAAGAGAGTCAAGTTATTGTTCTTTCATGGGGTTTTTTGCACTACAAATTAGACATGCAGCATGCATAGGAATGCGTTCTTGTTTTTCTCAAACTATACAGGCTGGGGAGCCGTGAACTAGCCCCCTCGGCTTTAAAAGTTTGTACACCCCTGATTTAAGGCCTTAATGTATGGGAACATTGCTTCTAATATCCATGTCTTCACTCTGCTTTTACACAGCATAAGTGATTAAATTATGCTGCAGAGTTGGAAGAACAGCCAAGTAATCTGAGTTTCTTCCTTCATTAAATTTCTGTTTCCTTTGTACTACTTTCAGATTTATTACCATCAAAGTTCTGGTTTTTCCCCTGGATATTCATTGACGTTCACAACTATATTAAGTACTTTTTTGGTATTGGGAAAGATAACTGGCCGGCTCTGGTCAGTACTGTCTTTCTTGGAGTCACTTGTGCTTTAATCTTTCACCACCACCATGTTCTGTCATAACCAAACATCTGATGTTTGGTGGGACTTACATAAGCATATTCTTGCTTATGCCTACATAATGCTGTGTTCTGCCCCATGATGTAGAAGTGCTATCATTTGTAATAGTTTGTTCTTCCTCTTCTTTACTATAGATGGTATCCCTGTGACACCTAACTCTACAAAAATCCATTTTCCTACTCTTCAGTTAATGCCTTTGAACCTAATGGTGCCATCTTCGGTAGCTACTGTATCCGTGACGAATGGTCCTGCTGTTGCTTTGAGCCGTGCTGCTCCCATGCAAGCCCCGAGCCCTTCACTTCTGGATTTTATGCTCCAACATGCAGGACTGATGCCCGCCAGCATACAGGCTTCTGCAAATCAAGTCTTTGACTCTGCCCTGGTTTGTCAACGAGCAGAACATGTTACTGCTGTCCCCAGAAGTGTCAGCATGAAAAAAAGGAAAGCATTACAGAATGTCTTACCAAAGGACAGCAGTTGGTTCAATGGAAAATCAGTTCCAACAACAATTTTAAAGCCGGTAAGAGACAGAAAAAGTGTCTAGCAGTTATATATAAATGCCTAATGAGCATTTTTGAGTTGCTGTACACAGTCAGGGCCCCCTTGGTGGTGCAGCGGGTTAAACTGCTGAGTTTGCAGACCAAAAGATTGGCTGTTCGAATCCAGGGAGTGGGATGAGCTCCCACTGTTAGCCCGAGTTTCTGCCAACCCAGCAATTCAAAAACATGCAAATGTGGGTAGATCAATAGGTACTGCTTCTGCGGGAAGGTAACAGCTCTTCATTCTGTCATGCTGGCCATATGACCTTGAAGGCGTCTATGGACAACGCCGGCTCTTCAGCTTTGAAAAGCATCACAAACCCAGAGTCAGACACGACTAGACTTAATGTCAGGAGAAACCTTTACCTTATACACAGAAATGTCACACAAATTTGTTCATGGATTGTATTACCTCAGACTGCAGGTTGCAGAATCGAAGGTTAGAATGTTCTCCTGTATAAACTCATATTTCACAGGCAAGAATGGTTTCTTTACACTTAAGGAGTATTCAAATGAATCTAAAGTGGTTGCAAATAGCTTTGGATCCCTTCCTGGGAGAAAAGCAAGATATTAAATAAACCTCAGCAACTGTTCATGTCAAGATTCAGATCATGTGTTTCTCCTTTTAGAATATGTCTTATCAAAGCCATTTAAATCCCATGGAACTATGAGTGCGTGGGAAGGCAGCAAGAGGTCCATAGGATATATTAACATTTTATTTATTTATTTATTTATTTATTTATTTATACGCTTGTATACCGCTAATATCTCAGCCTAAGTCGGCGGCTCATTGTGGTTTAGCCATTTTCCTGTATCCTACCAAGTTTGGATTTATCACACGGGCCTTGTATTGACTGTATTATTGTTAGGTGAGGCACAGCATTTCTGTGATTTGTAGATGGAAAAGTGAGGCTGATCTATCTGTCAGCACACTCGTGAGTGGAATGATGTACAGTGAGCGGTATAAGCTAGGACCTGGTTCAAGGGCCCCTTGTAAATCCCAAAATCCATGGGACACTCATCTCATTAATAAAGTGACATAGCAAAATTTTGTCCTTTATAGCAAAAACTCAATGTTTGCTTTTATGGTTTTGTTTTTTTAGAGGTGGGGGGGGTGGGGGGGCATATTTTCAAGTCCTTGATGTTGGAATTTGTAGATACAGAATCCATGGATAAAGAAGGCTGAGTGTATCTCAGTAGTACAATACTGTAGGTGTATTCTTCTGCTTGTTTATATTAAAGCATTTAAGATGTATTAGTCTGACCACCTGAAACAACTTCGGTTTTCCTTTCCATCCAGACTGCTGTTTCTGCGGCACCCAGTGACTCTCATAAAGGCAGTGAAAGTGTCATCAAAATGTCGTGTGAATCATCTTTCATTCCTGGCTTTTGTTCATCTTCTTGTGAATCAGATGAAATTTCCCAAGAAGAATTGCTAGTTCAACAAAGAGAACTGGATATGTCAATTGAAGATGATAATGTTTGATCAGGAGAAATATTGCTGGAACTTTCCCATCTCAGATAGAATTGCAACTTTTTATTTCTGGTATTGTGGGTGTACTTCAGAAATGGTATTTGATCATAGGGGTAGCTTCTTTCTGCTGGAGTACTGTTTTATTTAGAATTATTCACTCTTTTAAACAAAGCAAGGATATGCATTGGCTTCTAGGAGATTAAATAATAATCATCATCTTTATTTGTACTCTGCCCCATCTCCCAAAAAGGGACTCGGAGTGGCTTACAACCATGAAATAAAACATATTAGATAATATAAACAAAATACAATAACATATCAAATTAAGATAAAACCAAAACATTAACACAAAATGCCAGCCATCAATAAACAATTACTATATAAAAGCACTTTGAACAACATTTTAAAAATCCCAGCCATTGCTATGGTAAAATTAGTCATAAAATCTGATTGATGATTATTGGGTATTAAACAAATCCACTTATAGAAAGCAGCTGTTTGGAATAAGACTGCCTTCACAATTGTGTAGGGTGTGAAAGTTGTTGTATATTAAATATTGGAATCTGAAGGTACCATGTAACATACTTTTTTTAATGTGAAGGGCTCTAATTCAGTTGAAATAATATTTTAATTCTGTGTTTGAATTGCTGTTTTATGAAGTTGAAAATCTTAATCATGCCTATTTAAATCTAAAGTTTATTTAAACATTAATTTTCTCAAATTAAATTTTGAACTTAATTTTTCTAACTTTCATACTTGTGGTTACTTCTTGACATTGAAGTGTATTTTTTTGTGAGATCAACTGCAGGAGAAACATGCTAAAGAACATACCACATACTGCATTGCATCAGAAAAAGTATGAATAAGAATAAATTGCTGCATAGCACATTTGCTGGAACGGAAAACATTAGATTAAGCAGTTCTCTGCTAAGTCTCAAGCATCTTCATGATCAAGATCATTTCTATATGCCATTTGAAGGCTCCTTATATCTTCCTGAAAACTTGTTTCGCTTGTTGGAAATCACAACAGAAAAATGGTAAGTTTGTGTAGCCACTTTGAGGCTCCTCTTGGAGAGAGAGAAAAGCGAGGTATAAATAAACATCATCACCATAAGTGACAGGTTTACCACTTCTTACATTATTGCCCAAACACTTTTCACACTGGGTTGCTGTGAGTTTTCCGGGCTGTATGGCCATGTCCCAGAAGCATTCTCTCCTGACGTTTTCCCCACATCTTTTCACACCACCTTAAGATGACTTCCATCTATTGTTATTGGTTGCACCCAAGTGCAAAGTTATCAAACTATTGTGCCTCTGGATACTCTATTAACAATTAGACTGGCAAAGTTCGTGAGTTATTCTGTTGCCCTATTTCTTTTATTCTAAAACACATTTTTCCCTATATAAATATCTCAAAAATGGAGTGCATCTTAGAATCACAGGGGCTTTTCTTATATGTAAGTAAAACTCTTTTTTGGTTAGTGGTATTGAAATTAGTGTGTGTTGTACAATCAATGATGTCTTAGTGTTGAAGAAATATAGTATGTTCTCTGAAAGCGCCTACTTTTTTGCTAAGTTTACAAAAATGCAGATTCCTGCATTTTTTTCTGATGGGGAAATACCTGGTATAACTATAGTGTGTCTGATATTGGGGAAATATGGTACATTCTTCTTTTTCCATGGTGATAAGTTCAAGCTATGGCTCCTTTAAAGTAGTGCACATTCTGCAACAGCATTCTGCTTTGTTTCTTTAATTTCATGTTTATCTAATTCCTTGTCTGGTTTCTGCTCAGACATCTCCATAGTTTTATTCCTATTTATATCTCCAGTACATTTAATGATATACAGGTTGGAGTTTCTGTATTTTTTCCTTAAACATGACTATTACTTGATTCCCTTGTTGGCTTCATAAAGCTTCTGTGCTGCTTTCAAATATTTGAATTGTGTTGATAGTCTATGCATGTTTATTTTATTTATTTACCTTATTTATATACCACCCTTCTCAACCCAAGGCCTTCCAACAGGCAGCAATTTGATGCCATACACACATATATTAAAATCATGCCATCCAAATCATAATCGAGGGCCATTCCATTTGTCAATCACATTGATTCATGATCACTTACTGCACTTGTCAAAGGCTTGGTCCCAAAGCCACATCCTAAGTTTTTTTCCTGAAGGTCAGTTAATTAAAAAAAAAAAAACCCTGCATCTCGTATTTCTAGGTTTGTTTCCCCAGGTACTGTGATATATTTGATAAAGAGAACCCTATGTTTCTGGTTAGGACTGTATTACATCTAACATTCCTGTATGCAAACAAGTGTATACACCTGCTACTAAAAATATTTTTGACGTAAACCTTATCATGCTCCAGATCTGTTATATTTCCATGCCAGTATTCTGCTGAAAAGCATTTAATTTTTATCCAACCTTTCTTCCAATATGGAACCTGAAGCAGTATACAGTGTAAGTTAAAACAAAACAACAATATGTGGCACAAAGGTTTAAATAGAATTCAACACTGAGTCCAGTTCAAACATGCATCTAAAGCACACAAAACACATTAAGTCCAATTTACATATTTTAAAATAGGTAGAAACATTTTAAATCTCTGTCTAGTTCTTTTACCTTGCAAATGCTGTTAACTTCAGACAGTGATGATGTTTTTAGCAACACCCCCCCCCCCTCCCCAAAGATGTCCCAAAAGGAGCCCCATACTGAGAATATCTCCTGGATAAGTTTTCCACATCCCATCTCCCAAAATGAAATCAGTTCAGTTAATCATGCTTATTTAAGTAGAAAATTAACGCCACACTTAGTTCAGATAGAGATGAAATGTCCGTGGAAGGTGGTAATCAATGAATTGTTCCCAGTAACATTATAATCTGCTTTTTAAAACAAATCACAGTACCATTGCATCAAGGGGGCATGATTCTATGCATTGGTTTATCCAGTTAAATAGCTTTTCAAGTTTCAGTCTTATTAACTAGTATGTATTTGTATAGTTCCTGGCTATTCCTTTGTTTTGAACAACAAGGAAATATGGTTTGAAGACACGACTTATTGTTTCCTGTACCCATAACCCTTCTCTAGAAATGCCTGGCATCCATTATTCCACATATATTTTCTGTCCGCAAAGTGTGTCCTTCCAGACTTCTGTGTCCTGTAGAAACAGAGATTTGGAAATCTGATGAAGACAGATTTCCCTCTTTAAACAGCTAGTGTTGTGGAACATTTTCAAAAGATATTACGTGCTTTTGTATTTTCCAAAGGTGATGAATGTTTTTAAGCCAAAGGACCAATTTCAATTTCAGAAGAGTTCATTGGAGCGACAAGCAATGGCTGTGTTCGAAACAAAAATGAATGAATTGCCCTTTGACAAGCTCTGTATTCTGCATTAAGTGACTGGAGAACTGTACAGAAATGATTCCTTGCATCAGTAAAGCCAACAAGATGTCAATAGCAATATCTGTTGCAAAGTTTGACACTTTAACTACTCGGGTTGCTCTCCCTTCATTTCTTTTTAAAACCCTCCTATCAGATACATCCTTCCTCTGTTCATGCCCAGCATTATTTTTTAAATTTTAAATTATCACATTTGACCCAGCCATAGGTTTTAAATTCTTGTGTGTTATTGTTTACATGTGAGATATTAATTGTATTGTTTTTGCTTATTGTTTTTTGTTTTATTGATGTGTTGTCAGGCTTGGCCTTATGTAAGCCGCTCCAAGTCCCCTTGGGGAGATGGTGGCGGGGTATAAATAAAGTTTTTTTTTTATTATTATTATTATTAATTCTGCAGTGCAGATGCACTTTAAGTTCTACGGTTAAATTCTGTAGTCTAATCCCTCCATTAGAGGACCAGAGATTTCTAGGTAGTTAGCAATTTTATTCACAGTTTTTAACTCCCGGTGGTGCATTGGGTTAAACCCTTGTGCTGGCAGGACTGTTTGAATCCGAGGAGAGCATGTTGAGCTCCCTTTGTCAGCTCCAGCTCCCCATGTGGGTACATGAGAGAAGCCTCCCACAAGGATGATAAAGCACCAAACATTCAGGCATCCCCTGGGCAACGTCCTTGCAGACAGCCAATTCTTACACATCAGAAGCGACTTGCAGTTTCTCAAGTCACTCCTGACAACAATAAAAAACCTCTGTGAGAATCCTGTGCTCCTAATCCTAGCAAATATGTAGGGCTGACTGTATTGCCCTTCGGTTTTGAGCCTTTATTGTAAATATTTCGCACATTGCTTCATTTTTCAGATAAAGCAAGGGGAAATATGGAATCCCACTATCTTTTGTCTGAACTGAGCTGACCTAGCAGCAAGAGTGATGAACATCAGCTCCAAGGTTGACATGTGGCTACCTGACTTACTGTGCTTAATTGGCAATCTTTTTGAAATTGCAGTTCTCAGCTCATTTTCTATGAGTGACATAATTTGTATGGGTGGCATGCTATTACGAATACAAGGAAGACCCTGTGTCCATAACTGTCTTGAGGTTCACTTTTAAACATTCAATCATAATTGACCTTTAACCCAACATGTGCCCTGTGACATATTGATTTATTTGATTTCATTATATCTAAGCAACTGTGTTTGGATAAGGCATCTGGGTGTAATCTGAGGGGCTTGCATTGTTCTACAACATGCTCATTACTGATGTTCAGTCCAAAGCTTTGTCAGAAGCTATTTTAAGGCACCTTGATAGCAATGGCATTGCTCACGTACTCTTTCTCCCCTGCCCCAGCACACACACTGTTCTTCCCTCGACCTTTCTTAGTCAATGCTGGCAACTACTTGGAAGTATTTAAAGACGGCTGGTGCTACTTTCAGGCTCAAAAAGATAACAGGAGGCAAGAGGCAAGGTCAGCTTCTTCTGGTAGGTATTGATGTCAGCTTGTTTGGAGTTCTTCACAAAGAGAAGATATACTGCTGTAATTCACTTAATTTACAGCTTTAGATTGAATAAATCAAAAAGGTCATTTGCTATGCAAAGCTCCTGGAACCATGCTATTTTATGAGATGTTCCATAAAAGGCTGATTGTTAAAGATGCTTTGTTACATTAGTGCTTTCTTTGTATTTTCCTTCTGTTTATCATGCATTTTAGCATCATTTGAAACGTAATGAGAGTGAAAATTCTGTTAAGTGATGTTTGATTTTTAAAAGGTCTGAACAATTTTAAAAGCAATTCTGCATAAAATGTATTACTTACATAGTCTTAATCCTTTGAGCTAAGTAAAATTTTTGTTTCAGATACTAGTAGTAATTTGGAAGCACTAATGTTACAACAGATACGTTTTTAGTTTTCAGCAAGAGATGGTATTAATTTTGAATTGTGAAAAGGGTTTGGTTATATGATAAAGCAGTCTGGTTAATGCATGAAACATATATCTTTACATTGTGTGTAACAATACAAGACGTTTAACCAATTTCTGTCACAAGAAATAGAGATTTTAATAGTATTAAATGTAGAAATAGGTTTCTGTTTCAATGAAATGAATATATGTCATGTCAGTAGAATTTCTAGTAGAGTATTTCCTTTGGGTTTAGATTCGCAGAACTGCAGTTTCATCATCTGTATTCAACATTTATGTGATAGATCAAAGCCCTGGTCTGCTTCTATTGCATTTATTTTGATCAGATCTACAACACCATGTTTGCCTAGTGTAGCCATGATTGGCTTCTTGGAGTGCTCATGCAACAATGTTTTAACCATGTTTACTTGGAAGTAAGTTTCAGTGCATTCA